GTGGCCAGACCTATAATTAACTTAATGCTCTCTATTAATGGTAAAAATTGCCTGAGTGTTACAAGGATTGAAAATCACTTTCTGTTGCATGAGCTAGATTCAGCTTTATGAATGTTGATCTAGCAGATAATTTCAGATGCCACTTTGTGTTGAGATGTCTTCCTCTGCTTACTTGTTAGTAAATGATAGTGAAATCACTGGCCACTATTCAAAAATATTTCAGGAAAATAATATTTTGCAAGTTAAGCTCACTTTCAGTTTGTAAAACAATCTAATATTTTCTGTGGGTTTTTTTATTTAAATGTTTGGATCCTACAGTTAAAATATGAGGGGAAAAAATGTGTTCATAGCTCTGCTATATTTACAAAAACCTGCTAAACTTAAGTCACAGGCTTTTGAAAATAATTTTTTATGCATTTTTCTGTGAATTTCATTAGTCTGTCAGCTAAATTTTGATTTCTGCTGAGCGTGGATTGAGACTCGGTTTGTCCTGGATAACTGCATATTCTGTTATTGCTGGTTTTCTGGTTGCTGGAATTGAGAGCAACAACGAGGCCTTAGAATATGCCGAGTTCTTTTTCAGATGGTCAACAAACCTGTTTGAGGAAGAAGTAGGAGACCAATATACATGTGAAGTTTTAAGAACTGAAAGATTAGGAGAGAAGGAGTGATGAGTGGATGATCTGGATACTAGTGAGGAAACCAAGGCAAAATGCCCGGTGCCCATTGGAAAATATTCATCTAAACAGTCTTTTAGTCTCTGCATACTTCTTCTGCATACCAAAACTTGCAAAGCATTGGGTGAACATTTTCTTGTCTCGGTGGCTTTGCCAACAGAAGATAAAAGCAAGCTGCTGTGTGACAATCTGCTAATTCAAAGCACAGAATATAGGTTTACATTGTGGATCTAAGGTGTCTCAATCTGCTGGTGAAAAGTGCATGTGGAATTCAGAGGACAGTCATTATGGTTTGACCAAGTATTTCTGAATTTTGCTTTTGTGGGTTTTTTTTTCTTCAACTTTGTGTACTCTTACTGTGTCCTGTTAGAAAGGAGGTAAGCTAGAAGATGTCAAAGTTATTTGTATAAGTTCTTATAATTGAAAATGGAACACGTTTTCTATTTTTGAAGTATTTAATAATTATGAAACCTTTTTTCTTATATAGATATATGTGTACTAATTTGACATGTTTTGCTTTTGAATTTACTGTATTCAGGCCAGTGTAAACTATACATTCTTTGCAGAAAGAATGTACTAATGTAAAGACTTCACCTTCATTTTAGTTTCAATTTAAGTCTATACAGTGTTAGGCTTTTAAGGCAGATCTCAAACGTGCTTTTGACTGGAGTTTCATTAACTAATGCTATAGAATGAAGAGTGAACCGTGGATTCTAGAGATCAGAGTCAGGAAAAAAGTTAAAGTGTATGAAGATAAATAGAAGCTGTTCAGATCAGTAGACTATACAAATACACTTATCCCTCACATGAGCTAAAGATTTCTATTGCATTCCTTCCTAACCCACGTAAGTTCTGTTAGAGACTAGAAATACAGTGGCAAAGCACACCGTAAATCGCTCTCTTGTTGGCATTAAAAAAAAGCCTACGAAAAATGCAAATAAGGAAGTTTCCTGAAACTTGTCTGTCTTAACTTTTAAAAGCCAAATCTGATTACTAGGAATAGGCAGTGAACCCTTAGAAAATTAGGTTCTCATTTGTGAATGTGGAAACTTGCTGACAGCATAACAGAAAGTGATGATTGGAGGGACAGTTAACTGGAATTTGCAGGCCTAATTATTTAGGAGATCTTAATTGGGTTGGAGGGCAGATTTTAACATGAATTTTCTGTTAATTAATTTTGTGTGAGGCTGAAAACTTTCTGTGCCTGTGTCTGTAGTGTGTATATACATAATATAAAGAACAAGGAAAATGTAAATTGTGTGGTTTTAAAGCAGTCAACTACGTAATAGACTCCGTTATGTTGAGAGAGGACCAGAAGAGTTTATCTCCATCTTTCCTTTCTTCTCCACTGAAATGCTCATATCTGAAGTTAAGCAAACTTTTAATCTAGTTGAAGCCTAATAGTTAGATATTAAACTGTGGTGTCCAATACTTGCTCTCTAATTTTCTGTAAATAGAGTTTTCAAATAGGTGGCACTAGTGCTTACTAGAAATTTCCTCACATGGTGTTGGAACTGGAATGCCATTAAATGAAAGACTTTACAATGTCATGCTAATGAAAAATAATCTGCATGTAAATGATAAGATGCTTGTAAGATAGATGGCTGCATGCTGTGTGTTGAGGGCATGTTTTTCTTCTTAGCTCTGGGAATCCTAACTACAAGAGCAGAGGGATTAAGATGGGAGTTCAGTATAAAGGCCTAAGAAAGCATTAAGAATAGTTTGTCTGGGTATATACATGCCCTTGACAAAATGTTCTACCCCCTCAGAATATACTGGCAGTCTCAAAGGTCCCAGCTGAGATGGAGGGTCTGTTCTGATGGATTGTGTTGTCTATATAAAATCATTGCTTCAAAACATACCCATCAAAAGGGTTGGCAGATGGAGAGAGGAAGAGGTGTAGGGTAGATGAAAAGAAAGCCAATGTTGGGTTATCCCAGCTTTAATTTTCATACACATCTCACTATTTTTTAATTGTTGCTAGAGATAGAGAAGGAGGGAAATTTAACAAGGGATGAGGGAAAAGTAAAGCAATGTGAAGATAGACAGCTTAAATTTCTGGTTTATACTTGGAAGCAGTTACAAAATCCTTTACAGAATAGATTATTCTAGTTGGAAGGGACCTACAGTAATCACTAGTCCAACTGCCTGACCAATTTCTGGCTGACCAAAAATTTTATCAAATTACTAAGGACATTGACCAAAGGTAATGACACTGACAGGCTTGGGCATCAACGACCTCTGGAGGAAGCCTGTTCCACTGTTTGGCCACCTCTCAGCAAAGAAGGTTCCTCATTGTCAAGCTTCAACATCCCCTGGCACAGCTTTGAGCTGTTGCCATCTGTCCTGTCACTGGATACCGGGGCAAGAGCTCAGCACCTCTGTCTCCACTTCTCTCCCTCAGGAAGCTGTAAAGACAACAAGGTCACCCCTCAGCATCCTTTTCTCCAAACTAGAAAAATCCAAAGTCCTCACAGGACATTCCTTACAGCCCTATCACCAGCTTGGTTGCCCTCCTCTGGGTGCATTCAGGGACCTTCACATCTTTCTTAAATTGTCGGGCCCAGACCTGCTCACATTGCTCAAGGTGGGGCTGTGCCAGTGCTGCAAACAGCAGGATAATCACCTTGGACAGCTGTCTCTGCTGTGTTTGATGCTCCGCAAGATGGGGTTTCTCCAGGCACACTGTGACTCATACTGGTCCCCCAGGTCCCTTTCTGCAGGGTTGCTCTGCAACCACTCCTCTCTCAGTTTATATTTGTGCCTGGTGTTACTAAATCTCGGGTGCATTTGTACTTGTTCAGTTTGTGCCACTGATGATTGCTGAATGCACCAAACTATCCAGATCCATCTGGAAGAGTCAACAGCACCTCCCAGTTTGGAATCATCATCAGGCTTACTAACAGTGCATTTGACTCCTGGATCCAGATCATTGGCAAATATATTGATTATAGGCAAATGTATTGAACAGCACAGCCCTAGAACTGAGCCCTGAGGAGCACTTCTGGTGACCTGTTGCCAGCAGGCTGTAGCCCCGTTCACTACAATCCTTTGAGCTCTTCAGACAGTTCTTCACCCAGTGCACCCTGAACCTACTCGTTCCTCAGCTGGACAACTTGCCCAGGCAGATGCTGTGAGGGACATTATCAAAAGCCTCACTAAAATGCAAAAACCCTGCATCCACCACCTTCCCTTCATCTGCTGGGTGGATGACCTTATCCTAGAAGGATATCAAATTAACTAAAAAAGAACTTTCCTCTGTGAATCTGTGTTGATGGGTCCTTTAAATGCTTTTCAGTAGCATTCAGTATGATCTACTCCATGATTTGTCCAAGTACTGAGGTTAGACTCATACATCTGTAGGTTCCTGGGTCATCCCTCTTGCCCTTCCTATAAAATGAAATAACATCTGGCTTCCAGTCAGTGGGGACCTCCCAAGACTTTTGATAGTTGATGGGAGGCAGGACCTGCCATATCATCGCTCAGCTTCTTCAGTACTCTAGGGTGAATCCCATAAGGTCCTGTGGGCTTGTGAACATTCAGCTGATACAGTCCCTGAGAAGTGTCCAGACAAATGGAAAGTCACTATTCCCACAGTCATCTTCTGAAGCCAGGGACTGGGCAGAGGACAGTCCCTGTGTGTTATTGAAGACTGAGGCAAAATAAAACATTGAATGTCTCCATTTTACTTCACCCTTAATAATCAGATGACCGTCTCCAACATGTATCAGTCTAATTTTTTCGTTACACCTCCTCTTGCTACTAACGTACTTTAAAAACCTTTCTTCTTGTCTTACACAATATGGGCCAGTTTCAATACTAATTGAGCTTTGGCCTTTTGTGTCTTGTCCCTACTTATGTCAAGCACAGCTCTGTCAAATTCCTCACCTTCCCTGTCAAAGCCTGACCTTGGTTCCTGAGATCATACAATTTCTTTTTCCTCTTGAGCAGCATGAGGAGTTCCCTGTTCAACCAAACTGGTCTCCCATTTGCTTGACTTTTGACACAGTGGAATTCCTACTCCTGTGCTTTTGTGTAGTGGAGACTTGCATTTTAATTCTGGTTTAGTTTTGCTTTTTTTAAAAACTTGGGGCCATAATATCAAACATTTTTATTTTCATAACTGCCTGGTAACCTTGATATTTAATCAGATCTTGAATATTTTGACTTGTCATCTAAGCTTTCATAATACAGAAGTGTAGAAAAAGCTATTTTAAAACTATTAATATTTGACTTTTTTTAACTTTTTTTTAACTATTAGCATGGTGGGGTTCGGACTATAACTTGATTATGATTCATTTAGTCATGTTTCTTCTCTTGCAGGAAATACAGCATTACATGACTGTGCTGAATCTGGAAGTTTGGAGATCATGAAGATGCTTCTCAAGTATTGTGCTAAAATGGAAAAGGACGGCTATGGAATGACTCCCCTTCTGTCAGCCAGTGTTACAGGCCACACAAATATCGTGGACTTTCTGACCCAGCACGTACAGACTAGTAAGGCTGAGCGCATAAATGCACTGGAACTTCTAGGAGCAACATTCGTGGACAAAAAGAGAGATCTGCTTGGTGCTTTGAAATACTGGAAGCGAGCTATGGAAATGAGATACAGTGATAGGACTAATATCCTGAGCAAACCTGTGCCACAAACACTGATTATGGCGTATGATTATGCTAAAGAGGTAAACAGCTCAGAAGAGCTAGAAAATCTTATTGCAGATCCTGATGAAATGAGAATGCAAGCATTATTAATTAGAGAACGTATTCTTGGCCCTTCTCACCCAGACACATCGTATTATATTAGATACAGAGGTGCTGTCTATGCAGACTCTGGAAACTTCAAGCGTTGCATCAACTTATGGAAATATGCTTTGGACATGCAGCAGAGCAACCTTGATCCACTGAGCCCTATGACAGCCAGCAGTTTGCTGTCGTTTGCTGAACTTTTCTCATTCATGCTTCAGGATAGGGCAAAAGGTCTGCTAGGCACTACTGTCACATTTGATGATCTAATGGGTATACTGTGCAAAAGTGTTCTTGAAATAGAACGAGCCATGAAACAAACCCAGTGTCTTCCTGATCCAACACAGCTGAACAAAGCCCTTTCCATCATTTTGCATTTGATTTGTTTGTTGGAGAAAGTACCTTGCAGCGCAGAACAGGAACATTTTAAGAAACAGACTATCTACAAGTTTCTTAAACTTCAGCCTAGAGGGAAGAATAACTTCAGTCCACTTCACCTTGCTGTTGACAATAATACTACCTGTGTCGGTCGCTACCCAGTTTGTAAATTCCCCTCTCTACAAGTTACTGCTATCCTGGTGGAATGTGGTGCTGATGTAAATGTCAGAGACTCTGATAACAACAGTCCATTACACATTGCTGCACTGAACAACCATCCAGACATCATGAATCTTCTTATCAAGTCAGGTTCACATTTTGATGCCACAAACTCCCATAAACAAACTGCTAGTGATTTGCTGGATGAGAAGGAAATAGCAAAAAATTTAATCCAGCCCATAAATCATACTACTTTGCAGTGTCTTGCTGCTCGTGTAATAGTGAATCATAACATATCCTATGCAGGGAACATCCCTGAAAAACTAGAGAACTTTGTTTTGCTTCATAGATGATAGTGTAGTGTCCCAGAGCACTGTTTTTGAAGCACGACTTGGTGATAATATTTTCCTTGAGCACTGTTGTGATACACCAGCGTTCCCTTAGCTTGCTCCATTTTGCTCTCATTGGCTAAAGTGTTGTTAGCATCAGATCTGCAGAGTTGGTTACCCAGTATTTAATATGAATATGCCATATAATATATTTTGTGGATTATTTAGAAATGTAATGCCATATCTAGACTTTCAAATTGTCTGCCAAAGGCTTGTCTTTTCTGGTCTTATTTGCCTGTTGAGTGTTTGGGACTGAGACGAGTATTTTCCACTGATGTCTTTCTACTGTAATTGTCATGTGGATTTTATACAGTTGGAAGGTCATCTTTTTTTGGTTTTGCTTGAGCATTTCTACTCTTACTCTCTTCTTTTTCTATGGACTCATTGCTAAACTGTACAAGTTGTATGGACTTGTTAACATTTGCAACTACCATAAGTGCTTTTATCTTCTCTATGCACTGGCTTAAACATGACTGTTGTGTGTGAGCATATTTCTATGCAGCACTTGGCCAATTTCAACTTAAATGCCAATTTTGTTTTGCAGTTCGTTTGGAGCTCTTTTGAGAATGCTGTCTTCATAGCATGATAAATTTTGGAGTTATTTATCAGCTCTCCAAACTTGGGTTTGACTTTTTTGACTGCTGTAACTGAGATTGCTTTCATCTTGTTCCTCTGGAAATTTGTCCTAAATTTGGGAAAAGGAAATCTTGCTTTGTCTGATTGTAGTCCACTTGAACTTTAAATCTGAAAATTGTTCTATTGCATCGTGCAACTGGGGGAAGAGTCCTCATTATGTACAACTGACACCTTCCCCTTTGCACTAATGTCTTGCTTGTGCTGATTATGTGACTAGATGTGAAGTTTGCTCAGAGTTTAACCTCAAACCTTAATGATACACTTTAATGAGAAGTAGTTCAAATATATGCTGTACTTTAAAATCTGCAAATCTACAGAAGAAACTAAAGCATGTTTGTGGCATGATGCTTATCAGTCCAGATCTAGACATCACCTAGTATAGTAAGTGGCTGTCTGCCAGGATATTGGAAATTCTATAACAGTGTCCTTTTTTCTTCTTTTTAAGTATCTTTAGAAATACTTGCATGGATTTTTCATCTCTACTGTGTCAGCTCTACTTAACAAAAGCGGAAGTTCTGTTGTGTATATAGCTCCTAATTAAAGTACATATTTTTATAATATTTGCACAACAGCTTAGCTTCTACAACAGAAAGGGCTCTTTTGACTCGATAAGTCTATAAATGAAGATCATAAATGTGAGTGCGATTCAGGTAATTAATATAATTCAGCACTTTACTGTTGATTATTGGTAGGATTTATTACGGCACATTAGCCCTGCAAATGTCTTAAAGTGAAATTAATTTCTGCTGGATAGGATACAGGTTACTTGCAAATTTAGTGGTCTAGCATACTGGATATTTTTGACTTAAATGTCTCATCTCAGTGGTGGGCAGTATGTGTATCTATGGGGTTCTTACTCCAGAAATTCAACAAACTGTTTTAGAGAAAGATATTTAGAATCCAAATAAATTAGATTAGGAGGGTCTTTTTAATACTTAATGTTTATTTTTTAAGTTGATGTTGGAACGTTTTTGTCATTTAAGTTGAGGAAGAATGTGTGTTGGGAGCATATAAGAATAGTACTTCCACGCTTTTGGTCTGTTTTGGCATTTCTGTCAGTGCACAGCATGGTGCCTACTAGCTTAGCCATTCTTAGGAAAATTATGGGGATATTTTTAAGCAAAGATGTGTTGAAAGCAGTGCTGTTTGTGTATTGCCACTATAAGACTTGCTATTTTGAAGCAATTTTCACCTGTTTGTCCCTTGCTATGTCTACATTGTATAAAATTATAAGAATCATAGGTTGGAAGAAACCCTTGACTCCAACCCTCAACCCAGCACTGCCAAGTTCAGCACTAAACTGTGTCCTTAAGTGCCACATCTACACATCTTTTAAATACCTCCAGTGATGGTGATTCAACTGCTTTGCTAGACAGCCTGTTCCAATGTTTAACCACCCTTTCCATGAAGAATTTTTTCCTAATATCAAATTTGTACCTTCCCTCATTCAGCTTGAGGCTGTTTCCCCTTGTCCTATCACTTGTTACTCAGGAGAAGAGACCTACTTCCACCTTGCCACAACTTCCTTCCAGATAGCTGTAGAGAGCGATAAGGGCTCCCCTGAGCCTCCTTTTCTCCAGGCTAAACACCCCCAGCTCCCTCAGCTGCTCAGACTTGTGCCCATCTCCATTGCCCTTCTCTGGACATGCTCCAGCACCTCAATGTCTTTCTTGTAGTGAGGGGCCTCACAACAAGTTGTGGCCTCATCAGTGCTGAATACAGGGGGATGGTCCTACTGGCCATGCCATTGCTGATATAAGCCAGCATGCAGGTTTTGCTTGCATCACACAGGAGTAAAATTCTAATCAATTGATTGAATTGCTCTGGTTTGTAATGCTTAAGACACATGCCACTCAGCTTGTCATTTGTGAGAACATGTAGCTTGATTTTTGAATTGATATATTTCAATGCTTTTCTGCTAATCTGTAAGTAGAGATAATCAACAAATCATACCATGCTAGAAACACATTATCTGTCAAGTCATAAGAATAATTCTTTTTGTATAGGTCACAGAGAAAGGGATTTTTAGAGTTTTTACTTTGGAATCTGTATTGCTCTTCAGGGGTTATAATTTAAATTTATGTCTTCGTAACTGGCAAATACCCTGTTTAGTATTAGCTGGACATTATTACTTGGTTGTTTAGCTTGGAGAAGAGTAGGCTCCAAGGAGACCTTATAGCACCTTCCAGTACCTTAAGGCGCTACAAATGAGCTGGAGAGGGACATTTTACAAGGTCATATAGTGATAGGACAAGGGGAATAGCTTTAAACTGAAAGAGGAGAGATTTAGATTGGATATTAGGAAGAAATTCTTCACTGTGAGGGTGGTGAGAAATTGGAACAGCTTGTCCAGAGAGGTTGTGGCTGCCCCATCCCTGGAAGTGCTCAAGACCAGGCTGGATGGGGCTCTGAGCAACCTGGTCTAGTGAAAGATGTCCCTGCCTGTGACAGAGGAGTTGGAACTACATGGTCTTTAAGGTCCCTTCCAACCCCAACCATTCTGTGATTTATGATCATTAGTCCAGTAATATAATCTAAAAATTGTTCTTTACTAGCAAATTTTTAAAATTGAAAACATTCCCAAAATGAAAACATATCACTATTACATCTATGTAAATCTAGTGAATGTTGCTACAAGGAAGGCTTACTGTGTTAGTTACTCTTTAGAAACAAACCAGTTTATTGGGACATGCTGATATATTGCATGTAGTTCTGTCTAAATATCTACTGAAGTGCATCAATCCGAAAGACTTATCACCTCTATGCAGAATTTAACTTTTCATGGTGGTGAGCCTCTCTGCTGAACACTTATGTTGCCAGATAACTTGGACTTAGGTGTCCCAGCAGGAGAGTTCATGCATTTATGGCAACTTTGCATTTAGCCCTGTGTGTTTACACCACCCTGTTTTATTTCTCTTAATTTTAAAACAGTTTGGTACAGAGCCTGTGCTGAGTAACGTGTTAGGGGTTAGTTTAGGATTTACTGGCTGGGAAGGAGGGCTGGGAGAGCAGACCCTGTCTGAGATGCATGTGCCACTAAGGCCTGTGCTAATGGGTAGTAGCCATTTTGCCTCCTCAGCCCTGATACAAAGAGTTTTGTCTCCACTTCAATATAGATACCAGTTTCCTGGACCAGATATTTTATTTTTTTTATTATTATTATTGTTACTATTCAGAGGTGAGAATAAGTTTATTTTAGTGAAACATATTGATGTTAAATGCAGTGGTATTGCAAGCTGTGGTAAGGACAAGGAACTAAAAAGCATTCAGAACACAAAGAATGGTTTTATTTTTGTCATATTTTTAACTCATTCTTTTACTGTTCTTCTCTTTTCTTCCTATTTGGCCTTTTTTGTTTTTCTGATGAGATGCACTGCTTCTGAGCTACTGACACAGAAAAATGTTGACAACACTGCGGAAATAATTGTACACCCTGCAGGGGTGAAACAGGTTTTACATTGATAAAACAACTTACAGGTTAAACTTCCTTGAGACAAAGACACTGATACCTCCTTGCTTGTTGAAACCTCTGAAGTTACATTTTTTGTGAAGGGGATATATGCTTAAAGCAGCTTCTAATCATTCTGGGTTTCAACTGAAGCACTTCAACAAGGAAGATGAAAAATATTCTCGTAAAAAAATTCTAAAATGTTATTCCTATTTTTGTATCACTTAGGCTGGAAACAAGATTCCAGCTGTCTGCGGTGTCTCTGTCCTGTTTGTTCAGTGCAGTGTAAAGATGCTTTCTGAAATGCAAGGCAACAGTGTGTTAGTTTTCCATATATACTTTACAACAGAAAGGAAGTAGTTTTGTGTATTTACTAAGTCCACAAAGAGCTGTCTTTTAACAACTGTTTTGTAACTGGTTAAAATTAACTTCTTTCCATTTTTACAAAACACTACTTTAAAAAAAGGAATACAATGCTAAAGCAAAATCCTTAAAGGAGGATTAATAAGAAGATAAAAACCTTTTGAGAAAAAAATGTGCCTCTTCTCAGTTTTGTATCAGCTGCAAGGTGACAGTGGCAGGATAAAACTGCTCTTGAAATAGCTTCCTCATGCATTGAAGTAGAGAGTGGAAGGACTGTTATACTCTAAAATGCTGAGAAGCACAAAAAAGTAGACTAAACACTAATTTTACCTTCTGTGACTACAATGAATCCGACTGGTATTTAATACTTCAAAGTGATTTTGGGGAAGTTGATGAGAGACATACTAGACTGCTCTTATTTCTTGGCTGTGAGTGTAAAAGCAACTGTTGAGCCCTCAGTGAGGGCAGAACAAAAAGCTGTTGTTGGTTTGGTTTTAACTAACGTTGTCCTTGTGTTCCATTCTATTGTGAAGACTTCCTATGCAGGGCTAGCTCCGTGTATGGAAATATTGCAGTTTCTTTTTTACGTGAAGTAATTTAGCTTTAACAGTAATGTAAAAAAGGAATAACAAGCATATTTCTCTGCTCTTACTCTCCTTAGGCTCCAGATGCAGAATACATTAAAAATATGTTTTGGAGAACACCTGTGTGAGTCTATATATCTGTTTCCTCTAGGGTACTGCAATACTGGTTGGTAAACTGCTTTTTCTGTTGAGTATGAGTAGCTAAATGTGACTGCTGCAGCTTTAGACTTTGATCTTCATGTCATTAAGAATTGTATCTTAAACAAAATGTCATGTTTCATGCTGTTTCTTTCTGTGAAATGGTGGTCCAGTCAAGCCTTTGAATTTTGGTAGTGGGTAATAATAAAGAAAAGGCTTAAACTGGATGATATAGTAGAGATTATTTTCCCAGTTTCTAGAAAAAAGCAGTTAGTCATACTATTAACTCTGTGGAAACCGTACTTTTAGCATAAAGTAGAAGAAGAAGTAAGCAACAGGCACTTTATCAAAAAGGTTGTACAAATTAATTTTCTTCTTAAAGTATCTCCCCTGTTGCATGAACAATTCGAAAAATAGACTAATAAAATACTTCAAGGGTGAAAGAAGTATAGGATCCTTATTAAAGGCAGCTAGGGAATTGAACACTTTGAAGAACATTATCATTATAAGTTCAAAATATCTTTAGAGTTAAGCACAGTAGTCACAGTCTATCCGATAAGGCAGTGCACATTTCAGAGAGCTGAAATTTTAGATTAGGCCTAATCAGTAACAACAGCATCAGAAATGATGAGGTTCTGGAAGAGGAAAACTGATCCGAGCTTTCACAGTAAGATAATTGTCACACAGATGGCTTTAATGATTTGAATGTATTCTCTTAATTAGGAAAGGGAAGAACTGGAAAGGATCATTTACATCGTTATTCATCCCTCTGCAGTTGCAGATGCTGAAAGATGTCTGCTGTTACCTAAGCTGTGTAACTATGCAAAAATGCTTCTTGGCAGTAGCAAATGCTGGCTGTCAGTTGAAGACCCAAACTCACCGTACCAAGTCATGCAGGACTAGGGCAAAAGAGACGAAGTGTGTGGTATATTACTCTGGCAAAGGCAATCCATTTGTTTGTTTCCCACATAATATCCAGAGGGCCAAATGCCATCCACAGTGAACAGCAGAAAGCCCTTCCCCTTCA